AGGTTAATTCTGTTCCTCAAATAGGCTGCTTCCCTAAGGCAGGGCTAAGACACACTGTTGAACCCTCAGGATGGAGCGAACCCTCCAAGACTTCAGGAGACCAGCAAAGGAATGTTACAAGTTCTGTAGATCAGCTGTGCTAAGAGGGTCTAAGGACGCATCTATCATCTATCTATCTATCTGTCTGTCTGTCTAATCTATCTATCTATCTATCATCTATCTATCATCATCTATCTATTATCTATCATCTACCTAGTTAGTCAGTGAGTTAGTCTGCTTGTTGGTTTTTTTTGAGACAGAGTTTTGAAGCTGGTCTCAAACTTACTTCATAGTCAAAGATGATTTTCAATTCTTGATCCTTCTGCCTCCAATTTCCAGGCATGAGCGAATTGTGGTTATAAGACGAAATGAAAATTTATTTTAATATTTCTTTAAAAATTTTTTATTTTATGTGTATGAGTGTTTGCCTGCATGAATGTAAGTGCAGGCCCGTATGGTACAAAGACCTTGGAGGCCAGAAGAGAGCGTTGGGTCCCCTGGAATGGAGTTACAGACTCTTGTTATTGGCCATGTGGGTGCTGGGAATCAAACCCAGGTTCCCTGCAAGAGCAGCCAGTGCTCTTAACTGTGGAGTCATTGCTGAGTTATCTCAGCAGTCCCTGAAAATTTATTTCAAAAGACTCAGGCCAGGAAGGTGTCTCAGCAGGTAAAAGCTCTTGCCACCAAACCTGACAATTTGAGTTAAACTCCTGGGACCCACACAGTACAAGGAGAGAACCAACTACCACAAGCTGTCCTCTAACCTCCACATGACATCATGGCACATGTGCATGCTACCACACACAAATAAATAATGTAAGGGTTTTTTTTGGTCTTTTTGAGATATGGTCTCCCCATAGCCCAAGCTGGCCTGGAATTCTCTATGTAAACCAGGCTGGCCTTGAACTCACAGAGATCTGCCTGCCTCTGCCTCTGGAGTGCTGGATTAAAGGCGTGTGCCACCATGCCTAACCAAAATGTAATTTTTAGGAAGGAAGACTTGAAGATGTTTGTGAAATAAAGGTGACTCTTTTATCCCTCAAACTCTTTTTCTTCAAAAACATGTATTACCTAATATGTTGCATGCATGTATAGCAGTTAGTGGTTTATTTATTTTTTGCCTCCTCCCTCACTAGAATGTATGCTTCCAGAACTCTTTGTTTTATTCCCTCCTATATTCTTAGCTTCTACAGATACCTCAGCATATAGTAAGTTCACAGTAAATCTTTGTTGAAACAATGAAGGCGCCTTAGCTTTCTATTGTTGTGATAAAAACACTGACCAAAACCAACTTAGAGAGGAAAGGGTTTATTTGGGTTACAGCATAGTCCATCATCAAGGGAAGCCAAGGCACTCAGGGCGGGAACCTGGAGCACAAACCATGGAGGTATGCTGCTTGCTCCCCTGACCTGTGCTCAGCCTACTTTTTCTCATACAATACAGGACCACTTGCTCAGGGGTGGCTCTGTGCACAGTGAACTGGGGCCTCCCACATCACTCAGCAATCAAGAATATGCCCCCACAGGTATGGCCACAGAACAATACAATGGAAAGAATTCCTCAACTGAGGTTCCCTCTAACCAGGTGTGTCAAGTTAACTAAAGCTATCTAGCACAATTTGACCCCTTGTCAATTTGACATGTAAATACACTGCTATTAAACCATAACCTTTCAATTTCTTCTGCCCAAGATACGATGTTAATATAAATATCACAACATAAAACAGCATAACTTTAAAAGTCCCACAACCCTTAAAAAAAATTCAAACACTTTAAAAGTTCAAAATGTTTTTTAAGTCTTTTAACTGTAAAAATCCAAAACAAGTTAAATACTGTCTTACCAAAAGGGAAGAATTGGGCACACTTAAGCAAAACCGAAGAACAGCACAGTAGCTCAAGGCTGGACATCTGGGATTCACTCATGATCTTCTGGGCTCCAAAGGGCTTGGGCAACTCCACTTCTCTGGCTCTGCTGTCCACAGCACACACAGCTTGTCTGGTAGGTTCAGCCCAGTTCCATTCCCTGCATCTGCTTCTACCTATGATGGCTGTCCCATGATCCTGGATATCTCTGGGTTCTTTACTGAAGCTGAGGCTGTACCTTTGCCTTCAGTGTAGAGCCCCTCAGGGTGCAAAGCCTCAGATTCTCTCCCATGATCCTTTCACACCTTCAGCACTAGACCATGAGGGAGAGAGAGTCTTACATATTACCAAGTCCTGCTTCCAGCTTGAAATGTAGGCTCTGCCCCCCTCTGGACCATGGCTTCCCTGTACAGACCCTGAGGAAATATTTCCCAGATTTTGCCATAATGATGCTAGTCTCTTGTTACTCACAGCTAGTTTTTCAGCCCCAGCTAACCATCATCAATTGTCCCAGTACAAGAAAGGTTTCACTTCAGTATTGCTGGTCTCTTCTTAATCACGGCTGATTCTTCAGGCCCAGCCAGATTCTCAATTCAAAATATCATACAAATAGCCCTGACAATCTTTTAAAAAAATATTTATCATTTTTATGTATATGAGTGTCCTGCCTACATGTATGTAAATGCACCCATATTGTTCAATGCCCATGGAGATCAGAAGAAGGAGTCAGATCCCCTGGAACTGGAGTCATGAATGGTTGTGAGCTGCCATGTGGGTGCTGGGAACCAAACCTGGGTCCTCTGTAGGAAGAGCCAGTGCTCTTAACTGCTGAGACGGGGTTTTACTATGTTGCCCTGACTGGCCTGGAACTCACTATGTACACCAGGCTAGCCTCAAACCCACAGAGATTCACCTGTCTCTGCTAGGATTAAAGGCACGAGTCACCAGGATCAGCAAATTCCTTCCTTCCTTCCTTCCC